AAATAATTCATTTGAAAACAGGAAGAAAGATAAGATATCTTTATCTATCTTGTGATCTTTGAACAATATATGATAATGATATTTTCGTGTCAAACTAGCTAGCAGATTGTGACAAGATAGCAGTGCATACAGAACTATTGTGTCCACAACTAGACAGCAGAGAGCAACCATTGAACAAAACTATTATGTCCAACTAGCTAGTAGATTGTGACAAGATAGCAGTGCATACAGAACTATTGTGTCCACAACTAGACAGCAGAGAGCAACCATTGAACAAAACTATTATGTCCAACTAGCTAGTAGATTGTGACAAGATAGCAGTGCATACAGAACTATTGTGTCCACAACTAGACAGCAGAGAGCAACCATTGAACAAAACTATTATGTCCAACTAGCTAGTAGATTGTGACAAGATAGCAGTGCATACAGAACTATTGTGTCCACAACTAGACAGCAGAGAGCAACCATTGAACAAAACTATTATGTCCAACTAGCTAGTAGATTGTGACAAGATAGCAGTGCATACAGAACTATTGTGTCCACAACTAGACAGCAGAGAGCAACCATTGAACAAAACTATTATGTCCAACTAGCTAGTAGATTGTGACAAGATAGCAGTGCATACAGAACTATTGTGTCCACAACTAGACAGCAGAGAGCAACCATTGAACAAAACTATTATGTCCAACTAGCTAGTAGATTGTGACAAGATAGCAGTGCATACAGAACTATTGTGTCCACAACTAGGCAGCAGAGAGCAACCATTGAACAAAACTATTATGTCCAACTAGCTAGTAGATTGTGACAAGATAGCAGTGCATACAGAACTATTGTGTCCACAACTAGACAGCAGAGAGCAACCATTGAACAAAACTATTATGTCCAACTAGCTAGTAGATTGTGACAAGATAGCAGTGCATACAGAACTATTGTGTCCACAACTAGACAGCAGAGAGCAACCATTGAACAAAACTATTATGTCCAACTAGCTAGTAGATTGTGACAAGATAGCAGTGCATACAGAACTATTGTGTCCACAACTAGACAGCAGAGAGCAACCATTGAACAAAACTATTATGTCCAAACTAGCTAGCAGATTGTGACAAGATAGCAGTGCATACAGAACTATCGTGTCCAACTAGCTAGCAGATTGTGACATGATAGCAGTGCATACAGAACTATCGTGTCCAACTAGACAGCAGAGAGCAACCATTGAACAAAACTATTACGTCCAACTAGCTAGCAGATTGTGACAAGATAGCACTGCATACAGAACTATCGTGTCCAACTAGCTAGCAGATTGTGACAAGACAGCAGAAAGCAACAATTGAATCAGCCTAGCTAGCAGATTGTGACAAGACAGCAGAAAGCAACCATTGAATCAGCCTATCATGTCCATATAGTGAGTCAGGTAAATTTAAGTGTATTAACTCGGGACTCTTTCAGCTATCTATTGAAAGAGAAGCAGGGAAAGGCCAAGATACACTTCAGTGGAGGTCTCTAGAAA